TTGGTGAAACTAATGTGGTCGGTGGAAGTAACAGAGAATGGGGTGAATGGAAGAAATGTGTTTTAGCAGTACGAAATTTGCCTGGAAATCACGAGTGTGCTGACTGCTCATCTACTGAAGGTATATTTCATTCGTAGTTTCTCTCTCCTGCTGTTGCCGTTTTCTTGCGTGTGGTACAAACTTGTTGGGTGATTGTATGTAATCAGGATCTGAACTCTGTTTGGATCTGTTTGAACTGGTTTTGTAATAGGCTTCAAATATTTTTTGGGTTTTTATTTTATTTTCGCTTAATCCCAGGTAATTTTATTGAACAAAAAAAACGTTGCTCTAGAATTTCAAGAGGTAAGCTGTATATTTTATTTTTGCCATATATCCATCTTTGCTTGAGAGCGGCAACATCAGTTTCCTTTTTTTCTTTTACTAGTTATATTTTGTATCTCCTAGCTTTTTAGAGGTACAGTGGCTGTCGAACACTGGCGCACTTGTTTGTATAGCTTGCAGTGGAGCACATCGGGAATTAGGGGTTCATGTTAGTCGTATTCAGTCACTAGATCTCGACGTTATTTCTCCAGTCGAGTTTTTGGTAAGAACTGGTTATCGTTCATTTATTTATTTTTTCTCTCTGAGTTGATGACTTCTAATCAGATTCTTGATGTCCGGAATGCTTATCAAGTTCGGAACCAAAGACGATTTCAGATTCCGCTTACTACGGGTAATGCTGTAATCAACCATATTTATGAAAGTGATGAGAGAAATTGTAACAGATGGAAACCTCGTGCAGGTTGTAACAGGTTGTTTTTCTATATTTTTTGTATTTCCTTTTTTTTGCAACAGTATTATTTTTGAAACTGTACTCCAAGTCTGATTAGATTTATTTTCCTGTTATACTACACTTATGTTTCGATACGAAGTTTGTATTTTTTGATGAAGTGCCTGTCTACTTCTGGCATCAGTACAGTGTTTAACTTTTTTTTTCTCAGTACTGACCGACAAAACTTTATTCAATTGAAGTACCGAGAAAAAGCCTTCGTGCAGAAAATTGAAGATGCTGATGTCCTGCTTCTTGAAGCTATGAGGGAGCTGAATGTTGAGAAAGCCTACAAGTTTGTGTTTTCTTATCAGTATTGTTAGTATTTCTTAACTTTTTGCGGGGCTCTTTGATCACATTTTTATTTCGCGTTAATGGTAATTATTGATATATTACAACGCTGTTAGTAACAGTGTTTCGAATTTTAGTAAAGCTAAAAGTGCTTGATTTTTAAACTGAGAAACCGTAATGTAAATTTCACTGATGTTTAAGCTGAACGCTAGAACATTCTTTTCTTTGTGGAAAGCTCGTGTGTCTTTTTTGCACCTTGTACTACTCAAAAAAAAGAAACTTTTCAATCCTGAAGTTGAATTTGAAATAATTTATTTGTTTTGTGTTCTATATTTATGTTTTTTGGTTTTTTAAATGGTTTATTTCATTTCCTAGGCTTCAGGGTGATTGCATTTTAGGGCCCTATTGAGTCCAAATATTACTTCTGTCGCCTTCGAAGAGCATGGTCCATTTTTAGACTTAATACGACAAAACAACCCGCTGGGTTTACCAATAATTCAGCTCGTCGTTCAATTGGGGTGAATTTTCTTTTTCTTCATTAATTTTATGAAATTAAGTAAAAGAATTTTGTCATTACGGGCATCTGAACGTTTTTTGAATTTTTCAGTTTACAGTGGACCTGTGAGAAGGGGTTATTTTTTTCTTTTTTTAATTTTGTTTTTTTTTTTTCAAAGTTAGTTTATTGTTGCTCGTCCTACTGTTTTTTAGCATTTAAATATTAGATTTGCCTCATTAATTCAAAAACTTTATTTAACGGGGCTTTGTTTTTTGTTACTCTCTAAAGGTACTATCGGTTATTTTTTTTTTTCAGCCTTCCAATACCATCACCTGAATTAATATTAAGGAATTGTGTTCAGTCAGGAAATTTGGATGCTCTCTGCGTACTTCTTTATAATCGTTTTGGTAACAGCAAGGAAGAAGCAGTTTTACTGAGAGATCTTGAAAATTTAGCTCTCAAGTTAGGATACACTGAAATTACTGAAGTGGTTAGTAGTTTTTCATTTAACGGTTTTACACCTGAGTTTTATTGTAGCCTTACGTTAGATTTCAAGAGTTTTGTTTAATTGGTAAAGTTCTAATAAAGATTTTTCACTTCCTTAACCTTTTTTTTAAGCTGCGTATCGCCCAATCTTCTAGTCGTGGTCAGCTGAGTCAAATAACTATCCCCTGGTCTTTAGTTATATCTACATCTAGTTCTGGTACATTTTTGTTGTAATATTTGTCCTTTCTTTCTTTTGTCAAGCACTTCAATATTTGCTAGATTTTTGGAATCATTTTTTCCTAAAAAGTTTTATTCCTTATCGGGTTTATAGGTTCTTTGAGTCAGTCTTCCTCCTCGATATCCCCCCTTGCTCGACCGTCTCCTGAAGTAATTGTTGAACCCTTGCCGTCGCAAGTTAATGTTTTAATGCGTAATGGAACAACAATAGCAGTAGCTAGAGACAGTAGTAGCGTTCAAAAAGGAACACATTTTGGTATTAATTTTTTTCTTCGTTTTACTGGTGGAAAACTTCTGTATTCATTTGAAAGCTCAAACTTATTTGGTGTTTTCTAGAGGGATATATTCAATATTTTTATTGTATTTAAAGTTTTTCTGCATATTGGTCAGCAATGTATCTTTGCTTATTTTTTTGCAGTTTGACGGAGTAAGTGGAAAACTTTTGGCCAGTGGTTTTGAATTTGGCTATAACATTGTTCGTTAGACAGGAAAGGGGGAGGAGTCATGGGAAGTATCAGGGGAAGTCGGCGAGTTTGATGAGTTCTGACCTAGTAGTGCTGAACAGAGAGTTCTAGTAGTTCAGTCGGGAGAACAAGGTGTATGCGGCGGATTCAATTTCTACCTGAAGCCTGAGCTTTCGAAAACTACGGTTGGGAGGGACAGATTTCTCGATAGGGCAAGGGTGGGAGATTGTTTTTTTTTTTTTTGTTCTCTATTTAAGGTGTGTCACCCTGTTTAGAAGTCCTTTTATTGTTTAGGAAACAAAAACGAAGAATCATGAGATAAACAACACTTTCTTTTTTATTTCTTGTTTTAGTTGCTTTGTTTTGAATTTTTTCTGAAAATTGGTTTTACTTTTTGTCCAGTTTTGTTCCTTTCCCTCTTACCATCCAGCACTTGACGAAAAATTGGTAGCCTGTTTCCAGAAGATTAACTTCAGGGGTACACATAACGCTTAGTTTAAATGATAGCTCACTTTTTATTCGTTTAATGCTGTGTCGCTTTCAAAGGATTTCTAGACTACCTTGTAAGTTATATATTTCAGTTTCTCCAGATGCCAATCGTCGTTCAATGAGTCCATCAGAAAGTCACTCTCGCTTTTCCTCTGGTCCTTTATACTCGTGTAGTACTTATCCTGTAGCAAATCCGTCATGCTCTTTTAAAGGGTCTACGTTTGGTAAATGCTTGAATGAAGCGCCACAAAAGCCCCCTATGGAGCAGCAGCTACCGAAATGGACCGTAGACGGATCTGATCAAAACAATATTCAGAAGTCGCGCATTTCAGGTAATTCGTCGAATAACAATCACTTTTTTAAAACTTTCAAATCTGAATTTGTGTCTTGTTTTATTACAGGATGTGCCTACAATCCTCTTAACACTAACTCTTCAAATTCATCAAGCTCCTCTAAAAGTTTATCCAAAATGTTGGGAATACAAGAATTTAGCCCAAATTCTGCAAATGGAAATATTTCATCTCAGCCGGTGGCTCATCATTCTGAAACAAGTGTTACGCGCTCATTGACGCATGTCACAGCCACCCCAAATTACTATGCTAAAGTATACCATTTTGAAGTAATTTAACTTTTCGAAAATGTAGTTTTTCTTCATAGGAATGGTTTTTTTTTTTTAATTAGGTTCCTGGTTCACTGAAGCTGAGCTCGGCATCTGGTAAATGTAATTCACATGAAGAAGATTTATCTCTCGCATCTTCTGTTCCTTCTAGTCCAGCACCTAGTTTGCCTACTCAACCAAAGCCAAAAATGTATCATCGTTCAGCCAGTGAATATAGTCAAGCAGTGACCAATGTCGGGGTATTAGCCCGTTTTTTTTGCTTTATCTTTCCGGAAGTGTACATTATATGTAGATGAACTTTTTATTTCAGGCTTTACGGGAACTGCATGAACAAAAGTTGTCTTCTGTTGCGCTTAGAAAGAACCTACCGACTGTTCCTGATCGTAAGCTGGTTTTTTTGGCTCTAATATGCTAGCTTTTTGCATTGTATTCCTCCTTTAAATGTTACTTAGGTTTTTTAAAACCAACCACTGGCATGTCGTCTTCTTTTTCAATGGCCAGTTCATCTGTAAGTCTAGACCCAATTCCTGCAGCTGAAACTGCTAAAAAGGACGAAAGGCATCCTAATGCATCGATGAAGGAGAGGGGTTTTGAGGAAGATGGACTTAGCGGTGGAAAGACAGGTGGGCGAAATATTCCACTTGGCGACTTGGCGTTTGATAGTGAGAAGAAAAATAGTAAACTTGTTCTTACAGACTGACAGTTATTTTCGCTTAGTTATAATTTAACATTCTTTGCAATCTGACGAAGTTTTAGAGGCTTTAACATCTTTCGACAACTCACGTACGAGTTTTGTGGGACCAAATGAAAAGACAAGATTGCCAAGTGCAAACAGTCATGTCGAGATGGCCGCTGCTTCAGACTTAAAAAAACCTCTACATCCGAACTCTCCTTCATCTGAAATAACTCCAGTGGTTCCAAAAACTTCGAAGAACACGACTTCTGCGGCATTGAAGTTGAAACCGCCTGTGCCTACCCCAAGAAGGGGTATTGGAGTTGGTGAAGGACCTCAGGTGAGGCTTGTTTACGGGGTTTCATATTGTTAGGCTCGTTGCTTGACCAATGAGTCAAAAAATAGAGACCAGACTGAAAGAATTGTAGAGGGAATACATACGTCGATGTCGTGCTTTGTACGACTGCGTTGCTGATAATCCAGATGAGCTTTCTTTCAAACAAGGGGATGTCATCGTAATCAGTAAGGAACGTATCGCCGGAGAAAACGACACTTGGATGGTATTTTCTGCTATATTTCGTACTGCCCGTGTTTATCCTTTTATTTTGACACATTCGTCTTTAGTTCCGACTTTTCAAACTTCACTTACATTTATGAATTTGTTCTCTGAGCAGAATGAAAAAAGCGGCAGCGTTGTTTTATTCTTTAATCTTTTGTAGATGAAAATCTGTAACACTTTAGTTCTTTATACAAGTCCCTTGTGTATTTCTAGCTTGTGGTTTTGAGTTTCTACTTTATTTTCACCACCTGTTTTTAAGCCTGCGCGAAAAAATATCCTTTTTCAAATGTACAAGCAGGCAACAAAAGGTTTCTTTATTTCAGGAAGGGTATTTAGCTAGCGAGCCGCAAAGGAAGGGTGTATTCCCAATTACTTTCGTTACATTTCAGTCTTGACCGTGTCATGTGACAGTGCATCAATTTTTTCTTCTACTTTGTCGCTGCATCTGGTTTCCTTTGGATATTTGTGTTTAGGCAGTTCATCGTAACTTATGTTGACCTTTGAAGTTCTGTAGTTCATACATTAACTAACTGATTTTGTTATGAAGCTAGAAAATCTTTTTTATTGGAATTTTGATTAATTTAGTCAGGTTTATACAAGAACAGGTTTCATAGTTTAACGCTAGTTTTTGCAACTTCATTTTTCTTCTGTGCTCTTAAAACTAGTGTTTGTGCCACAAAACCAGTAGTTTCTCTAGTCTTATAAGATTTGCTCTTTAAGGTTGTACTGTTTTCTTTTTTGAAACTCTTTGAGTGCTCGCATATTATGGGTAACATTGTTCCAAAGTTTATGGCATTTGGTACGATTTGAAATATTGCTTTTTTACAATTTTGATAAGTGATTTTTATGCACTAAAAGAATTTTGCCTTGTCTTCAGTGGAGGTTAAATCTGGAAGGATGGAAGAAGTACAATGAGATTGATGTATATTTGTTAGCCTCTAATACTCATAGAGTGGCAGACAAAATGTAATGTTTTATCTCACTTAATTTTATGGTCCTGTTATCTCAGCGAAAATAAGTGAGAGATTTCTTTATGAGAATTTTGGTGAGACTATCCATTTTTGCTACTGTGAAAAGATAACCTGGTGATTTTGCTATCTTTCCGCATTTGTATTCGTTCCCATTGCTGGTGACAGGTTATTTGTTGAACGAGTTTGAATGTGTGTATCGCAGTACTGTTTTTTAAAGAGTTGGCCAACTTTTCAGTCTTCAATTTTGATAATGTTTGGGGCCGAGAAGAGGAACTATTTTGGCTAGGATCAAAAAATGTATTTTTTATTTTTTTTCTTTATCGAGGGAGGGACCATATTAGTTTGAAAAAAGATTGTTTAATGCCGTTCACTTTCTACTTTGTTTTTTTTTTTTTTTTTTTTCTATATTCGCTGTTGTTTCGCTCCTTGCCGGATGTGTTTTTGAACTACAATGAATCTGTATTTGTGTTTCATATTAATATTTATTATGGTAGTTTGCTAACTGTAATAAATGGATCAGTTGTGCAGGAACGTTTTGTTAAAGTTGCAAATGATGCCCGTGTACATGACAGGATTTGAGCAGTATCAAACTGATAGATTTATGGTGGAGGGAGTTTGATGGAATGTCATTCAGTGAAGTGAGGATTGAAGGATTTTAGATGTTTTCGTAATTTTAAGAGTGCTGGAAATGTAAATTGAGAGCGGGTTTTCCATTTGAAATTTGCTAATTTTCTTCCCTATTACTACAGTGCTTGGCGGTATTTGACCATATCTGTGGGTGGTTGGTGTTGAGTGTGATTACTCGAGGGAGGCAGCTGAGGGGCTTAGTGTTCATGTTCGGTCACCTCATGGGTACTTGTTTCACTAGAAGATCGCAGTGGCTGGACTTTTGGGTTTGATTTTAAAGGCAGTTGTGGAACGAAACTGCTTTAATTGTTCTGTATATTACTGCTAGAAACAAAAAAATTGCAGCCTTTTTTTTTAATCATATTTTATAATATGCAGTGGAGTTGTTGTCGTCCTCTTAGGCTGTTTGACTCGTTGGTTGTTTGATATTTTTTGCGTTGAATGGTTTTGAGTTTCAGATAAACTGGGGTACTGACATATGAGTGAGCTTTCGCTCAGAAATATTTGTTGCGATTTTTACTTGGGAAAACCAAATGCTATTAATAAACAAATTACAAAAAGCACTATTCATTTGCCAACAATAAGGATTTTTGGCATCTTAGAATCGGGTTAGTTTTTGAGCCAAATTTTTTTTAGCATCTCGTTTAGCTGGCAAAAACAGAGGACAAATTAAACTTCTGTAATAACAATTATAAATTTTGTAAATATTTGTATAATTCTCAAGGAAGCTGTCTTCTGTGTTCTGAAGTTGTACTTCAAATAGATTCATAGAAACATATTCTCAGAAATAAATTTACTTTTACCTTGTTCACAGGACAAAAATGTTGCGTCCATGTACATGGCGTTTTTCCTTATATTCTTCTCAGCCTGGATACTCCTGTTACAACGGAAATTATTCAAGAAATTTCATCTATGGTGAATACCATAATTAGTCGAAGGGATGCTCGTTTTGCAAGCGGGGAATCGGCCATTAACTCCATTGAACCATCCGCGACCAAGTAAAATTTGCTTTCTTCTTTTTTAATTTACATCTCCTAGTTTGGTAGGGGTTTTGTGTAATTTCAAGGGTAAGTAAGGAAACTTTGTTCAGAAGTAGTGTAACTTTTCTTTCATCAATAACTTATTTATTAGGTCAGTCCATAAATGGCTGTGAATTTGGGTCTTTTCTTTCCCAGGTTTGTATGGGTAAATAAGATATTTTAAAAGGATGCTCTTTTGTGCGATGAACGAAATTGTATTATCTACTCTTTCTTGTTATATTTGTGTTTTCAACTTCTAACTTTCTATATTTGTCTTGAAAAATTTTCGATTCGAAGTTAAAAAACAAAATTCTTCTTGTATGCCCTTGTACTTATGGGGAAAAAAGAAATGGTTTTTAAGGTTAATCGGGAAGTGGGAACGAAAATTGGCAACTTTTAGCTAAAGGAGTGTACTGTACAGAAGTGATTTATAAAGTTTGTAAATGGAGATAAATCAGTGAGAGCTGAGCGTAAAAAGCTACATTTTGAGCACATCAGTTTGGAGGCAGTCTCTGAAACTGATTCGTAAATAAATTATTGGTCACACAGCTTTAAAGTTGAGAATTTTGCATTGGACGGTCGCACAACATCCACCTTGTAAACAAGAAAAGCCGAAACAATGGATATCTCAAAAGCTCGTCTCCAGAGCTGTTGATGCGAATACAGCTTTAGTGGAACTTTTAACACCCGAGAATTAATCTGCTTTTAAACAGGAATGTTGCCTGTGGAAAAAATTTGGCATTAATCGGCCTCTGAAAGGAGCTGAAATAACAGTCAGTGACTTATTTAGCTAGAGAAGTTGAAATGTGATCTGCTGAAGGTGAAAATCACAGTTTTCTTCAAGTCGTTGATTCTTCTTTTTTTCAAGGAGTTGCTATTTAAGTCCACCGGAGATTCTCAATTCTTGTTACAGTATTAAAAATTAAGAGATTTGTCGAAAGGATTGAAATATCTGTTTTTGAGACCGGTAGAAGGATGTGAAATATTGTTACTGCATGGTAACGCTGAAGATTATGTGTTAATTGTCTTGAAAAGAGGAAAGCAGAGATGTTGGGACACAATATCCCGCTGTGTCCACTTCACTCTCCAGGGTTTTATTACACCACTTACTTCTTTTTACACTTCTTGAATTCAATTTTAGAAAACGCTTATGATTTGAAACATGTAGGAGTACTCGCGGTGACTTGGCGCTTTCGTAGAGCTGAGAAGAGAGAGTTTAAGCAGAAGCTAAGTCATGTGTATCAGAGCCAAAAATGAAGTCGCAAATATTCATTGATAAGCCTAATGTTTATTTGTTTGGATCTTTTGTAGCTACTAAATAAAAAAATGTTAGGCAGAAATTTTTATTGCTTCTAACAGACTGATTTATTTCTCCAAATTGAAGTTGACAGAACTTCAAAATTTCTTAATTTTTATTGTCGTAAAGAGTAGCCGTTGCAAGTAGTTGGAACCATGGTTTGTAAATTATACACTTCAAAATCATTACAGGTCGATTTACGGATATTATAAAGAAGTAACAAGTTTTGTTAAAATATCGTTTTATTCTCCGTTTCATGTAAACATGTAAGTTAATTGTTCACGGTTTCTAATCTCCCTCTTTTTTAATTTTGCTGATTTTAGAGGATGATTAGTGTCAGTATCAGATAATTGGCGCAAATTATTTAACAGCTGAAAATAGCAGTTATATAATTTTATCTGAAACAAAGTCGCTTTCAAAAAAAAAAATTTTCAATAAGAGTTTCGCAGTTGTTTAACCCGAATTTTCGTCATTGTTATCTGTTATGCAATTGAAAAGTCGTAATTGTGGAACGATAAATCACAGTAGAACTGGTTTTTTTTTCTGTTCCTTTCTACTAGTTTTTTAAAGATATGTCGCTCTTTTAACCGCTACAATTTTTTTAGAGTTTCGCACGCTCTTCAACAAGAAGCTTTTTCAAACATGTCTTTTCAAGTACATGAAGCTCATGTGCCTTACTTACTCCAGTTTTTTATCGATCACTGTTTGTTTGGTATGGATTTAGTGCATTTACGGTCCGTCAAATACCGCATATCTCCCAGAGCAGGACTTGCAGGTGGGTCTTCTTGGTCCGACGTTCGTTTTTAGACTTCTTTCGTGTACGACGTTAGTTCTGGTATTTTGTCTACAATATTCATATATTTCTTAGACACTGAAACTGATGATATCATCAGCTTCTTCCTCTACACATTTAGTGGTGTATTAATTTATTATCCAAATTAACGATAACTAATGCTTTTTTATTTTTATTTAATATTGGGCGTTTAAGTCAAGTTTCAGATAAGTAAAAAGACAGCAATTATAAAATCTTTAATTTTTTCAGAACCTTACGTATTAGGTCTTACTGTGGGAGAAATAATCGATGAGTGAGTTTTCCTCTGGTGTTTCTACTGAGTAGTAGCTACTTGGCGTTATTGTCAGTTGCTAATCTTAGCTCTTCGTTTCATAGGGATTTCTTCTCGAATTGCTTCTAAAAATATTGCAGCACGGGTCTTTTATCACCAGTTTTGCCGTCAACAACTGTGGCTGTTGAATGTGACGTTTTCGCCAAGGATATAACAAACGCTCAAAAAATTTTAAAAAGCAGTAAAATTTTTTGAATTTTTTAAAAGTTTCTTGGGCCATCTACTGGTTTATAAATTTACTTTTCAGGTGTTTGTAACCCCGGACTGAATTATATATGGAAAGATGAGGAACGACGATGTCGTCAAAGAGGAGTGGAATTGAAAGCCGAGTCTTCTCAGCGTAAGAAATTCTGTCTTGGCTTCTTAAGTTTTCAATTCATTTTTCTTAAAATTGCTTTAGAAGATAGACCAGCCACAGTGAATGATACAGAACGAGGTTGGCTAAAACAGCTAAAAGATATCTGTAAAAAGTTTACATCTTTTTCAAGCGATGAAACACATAGTTCGTCCTTTTGGCGTGACTCAACCCTATTTAATGGTATGGTTTTCAGTCCTTCTTTTAGTATTGCTATGGTCTTTGAGAGAATGTTGACCCCATATGCTGTGAAGGTTTGAAATTAGTGCTAGTATTCTGTTTTCAGACACTATTAATGAATTTGATAGGACCCTGTCGTTGAATGAAAGAGCTCTAGATGCAACTTCTGTTGAATGTGCAGTTTACAGCGATAACCTTGAAGAATGGCCAGAGAACGAAAAAGATGAAATAAACACTTCTTTCGAAGTTAACAAAGAAAATGAAGTAAGCATTTTTAAGAAGGGTAAGTATGAGTGTAGTTCTGTTACTCCAACGTCGTAAGCACTATTTTTAGATCTCTTTATAAATCAGAAAAACAAAAAAGTTAAGATTTAGTTTGTTTTACGTTATGGAGACTGATCAGAGGTAAAAGCACATTTGGAATACTAAATTTGGGAAGTCCCGTTCAGACGTAAAGTGAGCTGTAAATTTTATCGTAATGTATGTAATCCCAACATATTCAACTCTTCTAGTTGTAAATAGTGATTTTTCTAGTTTTTTGCCCATTGATAACAGGTTCGGATTGACTTTTATCAAGCTTTATCAAGTTCCGAATAAAATTTTAATTAAAACAGAAATTTTAACAAATTATCGAAAAAAACATATTTGAAATTAGAAAAAATAATTTTTGTACAGAAATGGTAGCACTGTAGAAGACAAAACTTTAAATTTATCTCGAATGTTGCGGTCTACAAATCTAAAATTATGCTGGAGTTCTGTAGGATTTCTGAGTGTCGTGGTTTTTGCCGTGTATTTGTCACTTTTTTGCCATACAGTAATATCAGGAGTTTTTTAAATTTTTGGATATTTTCATGTAGTCAGAAGGATCAAAATTGGTATTATCGGTGTTATAAGGAACTTTTTAAAATGGTATATGAACGGTACGGTGAAATTTAGTTGGAATGTTCTAATTAAGAAGGCGAACACTTTTCCAAGGTTGCTGAAGCTTCGCACGTTGGTGGCAAGTACTTATCCCTTTGAAGGCAAAGTACAAAATTATAAAAAAGCATTAGAGAGTTTTCTGTGAACGTCGCTTTATTGCTATCATAGAAAAATGAAGCAAAGAGGTTTTTTTATAAAGTAAGTGGAGCATAGCAACGCATCGGATATTTTGTTACGTGCATAATCATCCAGATTAAGAATGTTTCGCTTTTATGAGTGCTGTTATTACTGTGAGAGAAGCAGTCTTAGATAGGAACATTGCCTGGTTTAACAGTTTTTAATTCCTTTCTGGTTTCATTCTCCTTGAACGAAGGTGTTAGTGACAAACGAATTTTGAGTGCTGCACTTATATATCAAAAAAGTTGGAGGTGGAAGGATGGAGAAAAACTTAAACACAAATCTAGACTGTACGCCATCTAGCTTATTAATCACATGATGGTCACTGCTGTTAGTGACTCGTTATCCTTAAACTTCTTAAAATATTTTTTTTTTGTAGGAAGCAAACGAAATGTCGCAACCACTATTTTCCTTGTACACTACTTCTGGAAGTGGAACTGATGCAGCTCCTGCTGAGAGCACGATGGAGAAGGCTTGCTTGAGCGATACTTCTGACAACACTTCATGTAACTTAGTATCATGTTTTATCGATTATCATTTAGCCTGACATCTGCATTATTTTACACTCAACTTAACTGTTTGGAAGATAATAATTCTGCCTTTACTTTAATAATGATGAGTTGTATCGATGTGTTCATTTTTAGGTATATCTCATGCTTCTTCATCTGCAGATATATTTCAGGTTGGACAAACTGATAAGGTAAGAAGTAGTTTTCTTTTTATTGCGTGAAACTTCTTGTGCTATTAGCTTGTTTATACTGTCAGTTTTGCAGGCCGGTTTTGGAGACTCTAAAAAATTTGATCATGAAAAAATTGACGATTTAGACTCTCATGACGATAATTCGTTACTTTCGAATTCATCTGGGAGTTTTGACCTTTTCGATGAGGTAATAACAATATTGTTTTCTAGTTTTATTTATTTTTGGTTTTTTTGTTTTATTTTTCATTAAGTTTTTGCATTATTTTTTGTCATTTCTCTTCTTCTTTAAGCGTGAAGCAGTTTAGGACCCACCAGATAGTCCTCTTAATAAATTTTGGATGGGACACCAGTCTTATACTCTTCCTTTGCATCCATCTACGGAACCACCAGTCAAAATTAAAAAATTTTCGCAGTTGCCATCGTGCCAGAAAAAAGAGTAAGAATTTTTAATATTTTCATTAGTTTCGTTATTGGCTTGAACAAGTATTTAAGGGCTGACTGGAACCGACGACTGGATTCCCATAAGGAGATATCTAATTCAAAGGATGAGGAGCGGGTTGGCAATTTTCAATCTTTCGAATCGTATTCATAATTTTCTTCTGGGTTCTATGAAAACCTAATTTAAGGACTATTTTAATCCTGACCCGCGAACTTTGTATGAAGCTGACATCGGTAGTCTTATCACGCCATGTACTTCCAGCATTGGTGGCCTTTTTGAGTTTGGGCAGTCTGAACCAGAAAATATCTTTCACGGGATTGTGAAGTCAATCTTTCCACTGATTTTGAAGTTTTTTCCACTTTTTACTGAACCGCCGCAAAGAATAAATGATTGTTAATGTGTGTTGCAATATTTCACTCTTCAGGAAGTACCGGAACTATAAGAACATTTCTTCAGGAGAGTGGCTCATTCCTACTTCCTTGTTAACCTTACAGAAACCAGCTTTCCATTTGAAGGATTTACGAGGTTAAACATTTTTTCCCTGACTTGATTCTGCTTTTATTAATAGGTCGTTTTACTTGTAGTTTTGATTGCAGGCTCTATATTCCCTTGTTAATCGCTTTTAACTCTTCTTTTGTAGGTTTGCATGATGAAGGGGAAAAACTGACTTCATTTGGCAACAGCAGCAACTCAGAAACGTCACTTATGAGGAGTGATGCATTACTAGACAATCCCAAAAAAATTCTTAATACATCGTCACTTGAGTCTTGGTGTGAACCAAGCTTTTTTAACGTAAATCTTATAACATTTTACATCTGATTTGAGAATTACGTATCAATTCATTCTCTAACTTTGAAATTAAAAATTTTCTGGGTAAAATAAATGGTTATTTTTGAGGATCTAGGCTTACGTGGTAGTTCTTTCTTTATTTTAATCTCTCATCTAATTGTTTTTTAGTACAGTGCAAACAGAGAAAGACTAGAAGCTACCGCATTGGTTCCTGAAGACCCACTTTCAAATCCTGATGAGGCCAATGTTGACATTAAGAATCTCTGTGTTCTATCAATGGAAGTCCTAGCTCGCGTGCCCCAAAATCACAGAGCTGCGGATCCTCAAGATGACCAGGTTAGTCCATTAAATGTCTTTGGCTTTCTAAAATTTGAACTGGTGGTTCTTCAGCTATGATTCTTCTCCTATTTTTCTTACTGAGTATTTTCCTGTCTTGGTTTTCTTATTTTTTGTATAATCGTTGTTATAGGTTTTGGGTATTTTTTGTTGTGTTGCCACGGATATCTGTATGAAAGACCACCATGTAGATGATGAGGTCGCTTTTTTGAATAACGTTGATCCTGCTTATTTTTCCTTTGACTTTCGTGTTCACTGCTACCAAACTGAAGCTGAAATTCTGGATGCTCTTGTTGAACTTATGCGAAGGTAGCCAAATAAGATCGAACTTCTTGTTGCTAAGGGTTTTTTAATGAAAGTATTAATTAAGGAAGATAACCGAGAGAATTATAAGGGTGAAAAATGGAATAAACGAATTTTTCTGTTTATATATGCAAAAGAATTGTAAAAATTTTTTTAATTAATAAAAATTTTCTTTGTTTCGTCGTTTTAAAAAATGTAGTGTTTTTTTGAAGTTGGACTAATTGCAGTCGAGGTTAAACAGGGAAGACTAGAAAGGCCGTAGTGAGTAAATGTTTAAGTTTTGATGGGCAGAGTAAAATAAGCTATCAGTTAGGGGATCACCATGTTGAGTATGATTTCCTTGTGCTTTTTTAATTTCTCGTATGACTTTTAGGTATGATCCTGATATTGTTCTGGGGTATAATGCTCTACGAAACTCTTGGGGATATCTCATTGAAAGGTCTATTGTTTTGGGTAGAAACTTGCTCTCCGAACTGTCTAGGTATAAAGTTGGTGAGTTGAATTTTTATTCCAAGTGCCTGCTTGAAATGTTAGATTGATTTGACTTATTTAGACATATATGAATACTGGCGTCCTGAAGTTCCAACGTTCAATTTTGATCCCACTCCACGCGGTCGAATTTTGATAAACTTTTGGAGAGTGCTTCGTGGCGAGTTAGCTTTAAGGCAAGTTATAGTGATTTCAACATGGACTACAGGTCAAAAATGAATCTTTTTGACTTTTTTGGCTTTTGGGACATCAAAAGAAGATAGCAGTCTTTTGAACATTTCTTGAAGTTCCTCTAGCTTACATTGGTAAAATCATCAGTAGATGATATGCAAACTATAGAAATCTGTTTTTA